GGAGAGCTGGGATATGACTGCGCGGGACAGACGCCGTAATGCACTCTCACTCGCTAAATGTCGTCCGCGCTCGAGCGCCGGGCGAGAGCACGTGTTAACCGGGATTTACCTCGCTCCGCGGGGGGAGGGAGGGTCCCTGGACGATGGTGTGTTTTCTGTGTGAGGGCGGGGGGAGGTCCCCGACGAGTGAGTTTTTGTAGGGGGTGGGGGGCGACGGACCGTAAACGTTTTAAACGGATTGCAAGAAGTAACCTCGCAAGAGATTATACACTCCGCAGTCTCTCTCATCGGATGAATGTAGAAGCTGTGACGGTCAAGTGCGGGGCAGGTCTGCACGTATTCTCGACTATTCCCCGCCCACGTAATCAGCCAAAAAACACAAACCTACGTTGTTAAAAACGCGACTTAGCGTCGCGCTAGGTAGTGCAACAGCTTGGCCGCCGAAGGAATCGGATGCAGAAGCGATTGCGTTCAGGATGTTACCATCGAACAACGACAACTTATCCATACTCGGCCGGGCGAACGACGGAAATACAGTACACAGGCTACAGACCACATATCACATACATCGGCCCGGCACACACACAGACATAGCCGCGGGCACGCAACGCGCGGCGGGCCGCACGCACGCACCACGCACGGCCAGCCACGGCACAGGCACGCGACAGCCCCCAGGCCACACACGACGCCCACACACACACACACACAGCAACACATATAGTATATATCAGAGTCCATTATAGAAAATTCTCGTGATTTATGGAGCCTCTTGAGAATATATATATCACACGCGCCCGCCCACACGACACACGCACGCATGCACGCACGCCACGCACGCACCGCAACGCACGCAAACGGCACGCAGCGCACGGCACACACGCGAGCACAAACACATCGTGCGCAGCCCAGCAACACGAACGCGCACCACGACACACACACACACACACACACGACACACAACCCACACACACACACACAACACAACACACATAACTCTGACATATATAGATATATATATATATATATCATACATTACAGCGCCGCACGGCAGGGATCGGGGGGAATCCAGACATCGCAAATGTAATCGATAATTCGCCGTGACCGCTTGACACACGGAAGGGACCGATGGGTGCGTTCAAAGGTGTGCGTTCCTGTAACACTCCCGTTATTCGGTAGCATGAAGAGAGAGCGGGGGGGGGGGAAGGATTGACCGACTGCGACGGACCGCACTAGCGGGCGAAAGAAAGATGAGCGAGAGATCGGGGCGGCCGACTGGTGAATTTCGCGATTGTATTGTATTTAACGCGATTGATGAAGATCTGTTACTAGATAAATCGTTGATGAATTCGAGATAAAACCATACTCATACATGAGAAAGTTATTACCGTGTACTTTGTCTATTATGTCGAGATCATGGTTCTACAGGAGGACTGGGAAAACATTTTCAGATGGACTTTTCAAAGAACATTTATATCGGAAAGTTCAAGGAGATTTTTATTGGATATGTTTATTCGGAATTCATACACAGGTAACAGAAACATTACGCTGGATTAATTGTAATTAAATAAGCCCCCATTCTTCATCACTGTCACCGTATCAGAAACTTAGCCCTGATTCACAATTAATCACCCTTCTAAACACTGTCACTTCTAGCCCGACATTCGAACTTGATTACTGGATGATTTTTACTGACAGTTACTGTAATTTGTGATCATCAGTTTAACTGTCTTAGTCGTTGTCTATAGTTTTAGCTCATGTAAGCAATTTGTATTGAGGTTTACACATTATTGAGTGATCAAAATTTATTTTTATTAGCAGGCAAGGGATTCTTTCTAAAATTCAAGGACATTTTTCATTGAAAATTTCAAGGACTTTTCAAGCACAAAAACAACATTACTAATTGGAAGTACTTTTCCAAGGACTCCCCGCCCTCAAATTCAAGGATTTCAAGACTGTGCGAACCATGCGAGACATACAATAAAGACAAATTAATACAACACTACCAAAAAACAGTTTTTTCATGGGTTTAACAAACTTGAAAAATTAAGAGCGATAGGGGGGGCTAATGCGGTGTGTTTATATTTGAGTTATCATTCCTCCCTGTGTGCGTGGCTCATCGGCACATCCGGGACACTATCGCGGTTTCCGGCTCTGCCGTGTTTGCACATAACGTCCGAGTGCGAGCCATTTTGCCGTGTTTGTGTAAACAGCTACTTCCTAACATATATTATTATCGGGTGGGTATATAGCTGGATACCACTCCGGCACAGGGGCAGGGGAGCGAGGCGGGCCGTCGTTGCCGTGGTTTGCGTTGTGTGGGTGCGTGCAGCGCCGAGCGAACGTTTCCGGACTACGGTAAAAATGCGCGCCGCGCCTCCCCCGTTGGTCCACTTTGAGTGAGCATTTCTTTTGCAACGCTTTGTGTGAATTTGTTCGTATCATTACCGCCATCTCGTACGCCCCCGCTATAATGTATGCAAACATATGCAGCACCGGTCGCCACAGCACACGCGACCGGCACAGCACGGGCACGCACGACACATGCACGGCACGCACGCACGCACGCAACGGCACGCACGCACGCAACCACACACACACATCACACAATTCCACCCAGAGCACACACACTCACGGCAGCACACACGACCGTGTACGCACACCACACACACACACACTCAACGCATCCACGCACATAAGTCTGCACGCAACGCACAACGACACTCCACACCGGATAGCTCTGCGTATGCCTGCAGTTCGCTCGGCTGCATGTCTGTGGCCGAAGCGAAGATGCTATCACGGGGAAAGCTACCGCAGTGACACACAGGCCCCCCGCCCGCCCGCACACACACACACACGCACCAGCACGCACGTCCGCCGGCACCAACGGGCACACACGCACGGGCCACCCTCCGCCCCGCACGCATCCCGCACACCGCGCAACCCGAATATACACACCGGGTTAATATTTTTGCTCAGAGCTCGTGACATTACACCTTCGGCAGCGGGCACCACCTGCAGGCTCACTGCATTCTTTCACCTGCGGCTGGATTGGGCACGTATTTACCTGGCCGCATTCCGCCTCGCCGCTAGTTACAGGTGACTGGGCCGACCTGGCGGAGGATGCGAACGCCGTGGTGTCGACCGCAGGCCGAAAGTGAAACTCGTCAGCCGTTGTTTGAGGCGCATTCTGGCTGGTAAACTCGGGCAGAACCACCCTCCGACCGGCCAACCCTTGCGGCACCCTGACGCCTTCTAGCTCGCGTGTGCGTGCGTGCGTGTGAGTGTGTGTCTCTGTGTGGCGTGCGTGCGTGTGTGGTGTAACAGTGTGTTGTGTGTCTGCTGTGTGTGTTGTGTGTGTGGTGTGTGTGTGGTGTGTGTGTGTGTGTGTGTGTGTGCTTGTGTGTGTGTGTGTGGTGTGTGTGTGTGTGTGTGTGGTAATGTATGTAGTGTGTTGTCTAGTGTGGTATGTATGTATGGTATGTATGTATGTATGTATGTATGTATGTATGTATGTATGTGTTCTAGTGTGTATGTATGGTGGGTTCTAGCAGCGCGGGTCACAATCACGCGATGACCTGCAGTCAATTATTAGAATAAAAAAGGTGTGTGGGAAAGAGACGAAGGGAGGGAAGAAGTGAGGAAAAAGAAAGCGAGTGAAAGTGAGAAAAAGGGAGAGCGTGTTTAAAAGATCGAAGAGGGATAGACAGAAGAAGAGCGACAGAGGTGGGAGGGAGAGGAGAACGCGAGAGGGGAGAAGCGGAGGGGAGGGAGGGAAGAGGAGGGGGAGGGAGAGGAGAGGGTGGGTCAGTAAGTGAGCAGGCTGCAGTGTGAGGGGTGAACTAGAGAGACAAGAGCGACACACCACCATTGTACATCAACGCGCAAGTGCAAAACTCCCGGCAAATGTACAGCAATTTCTGTCGACTGCAATCTTCTAACAGTAACAGACAATGACAACAATTGTAGACACATCGGCTCAGCGACAGTGCCAGGTATTAATATAAGTGCTTCTCAAGGCCGGTGTGGCCCGGCTAGAGTGGCTGAGCACACCACAAGTCAGCTTACACACTCGCATTACCACCAAGAGCAAACGACAAAAAGCACGGAAAACATCTTAATATTACCGTGACACAGTGCCGGCAGGCAGACAAGGGAGACACGCGCACTATACATCTACATACGTACAGGGAGAGCGGAAATGCTGGTATATTGTGCGATGTTAATATAGTGGGCAGGAACTGTACACCTATTGTGACCGGGTTCAGTCTTGCATTACTGTCCCATATCGATGCAGCTTTTAATCAGCGCTCTAAGCATCCTCCGAATCAGCATTCAACGCAGAGTCGACGTACTTTGAAGTGTCATTAAACTGTACGAATTAAGCGCTCAAACGATAGGTGCCTGTGACCACCTGCTTGCAAATAACCTAACCAAACTACATACTATTTTTTTTTCGAATGCGGTTCAGCGCAACCAGCATTAGCAGCTGCGGGTACACGCAGTGCGAGCGCGCAGGTGAAACAATGCGCGCGTTCACAGGTGTGGCTGCGTTCACGTTGCCCTAGCAGCAGTGCGAACAGCCGACACTGACCGTAAATACGGACATGGCTGCATGTGGATAGAGACAGACAGGTGTCGCCCCGATAGAGCGAGATTTCCTCATTTATCACCTCGTTAATTCTGATGTAGGTAGGGGGCTGGCAGACAGACCCTGCATTGGTCGAGAAAGTTACGGGGCTGCGTTCGTACTCGAACCGTCTTAGACAAGGACATACACACCGGCTACTCACTCACACGCACCTGTGTGAGGATTGAAGTGTAATGCAAGAGACAAGTAATCTCGTTAAAATCGCAGTTCGTTTTTATTCAAAAATAATACATCGCCAGCAACAGGCCATCAATACCACAGAGATAGTATTAAGTTGACTGTATGCACACACGTATGATTGTTTGTGTGTTGACTGTATGATTCCAAACATAGCATGGTGAGTGTCTGCTGATGGTATTAGATATGGAGAGTTTGAGCTATAAACGAATGATACCTACAGTTCGGTTCAGATTGTTTTCTCGGGGTGGATTTCTAGTCAGATGTGTTCCATTCCATGCGAAATTGCTAGTAAAATGCGTTCCTTTGAATCTATCTGGAAATTCATTCTCCGCACATCTCGACATTGTTCAATTAGACACGCATCATCACACCATCGTGTGGCCACGATCTGTTGCAAATGTTTGCATTCGTAAACTGTCTTGCACCTAATCACTGCTTCGTTCCTATAGCGTTCAGCCTCACGCACTGTTCCTCATGCATATGGTAGCGCCATCTTCTGGCAAGAACAATCACCTATTCTACTATGATGTCACTCGTTGATGTCGGCCAATCCCTGCTGCACTGCGCTTGTCCCGAACCGCTTCCATCTGAGCATCTAAAAGAGAAATGCAGATACGTGATATACATTTATATACACGCATGAATAGTGTTCCCGCCAATATAATCGAAATCGCATCTGAATTTGAAACCCTCGAGTCACTTTCAAAGACTCCCTGCTGCTTACTAAGCTACATAAACTAGGTTAAGCTCCGCCACGCACAATACGCACCCCTTGGCTGGGTCTAACACAACTTTCACACACAAAAGTGAAGCGAAGAGTAAGCTATGGAAAAATTCAAGGTGGCTAAGGCGACGAAAACTGCCTGCTCACGCCGCGCCATTCACATTCTCCCCAGGTAGTGTCCACCCAGGCCAAACAGCTAACCGCCTATGTTCCCCACTCTGTATTATAAGCATTGTTGGGAGGAAACGCGGGGCTATAATCTGTTTGCACTCACATGGCACTCTCCTCTGCCTCTTGCCATACAGCATCGAGTGACGGTAGTCTGCCGCGACCTGCGCAGAGGGCTTGACTTTGACCAGCTCCTCGCGTAACACGCGTATTCGGAAGGGAGACTCAGTACTGCAAATAACAACACACGAAACGACGTCACGATCAAATTACAATCTTTGTTGGAATAGATTGTCACAATACGCCTTACACATTTACATATTAGTAATTGTCTTTATTTTGGGAGCCTTCAAATTGGCACCGAAACTCTACAATGCAGACACCAAAAGAGGTGGGGAAATCCGTGCATGCGCACAATGCTCACACACCAACATACAAAACGCATGTGCATATCACCAGGAGTCTATCAATATATATATCGATAGACTCCTGATATCACATAGATGTGCTCTGTAAGTATTTTTATAGTTTCTCGAGGTACACGCACTCATTCTTGCTGAGAGGGAGGTAATCGCTCTCTGTCTCTATTTCCTCCTCGTTATCCTCTTCCTCCATATCATCAAGATTTTTCTCGTCAACTGATCCCAACTCATCCTGTTCTGTTGCTTGCTTGCGTTTTTTCGACTGTTTTCCTTCTGGTTTCTCGCTCGGTTTGAGTGCAGATACCTTCTCTAGAAACTCCGCCGGTAACTTTTTAGCCTCAAGACGCTTCAGTTTTTCTTTCTAAATGCACACAAAGTATCATAAAGTTATTGTCATGCAACTTAGAGGTGAATGAAAAGTGAATGCAAATGTAAATCATTTATATACGTACACGTTATTATGCTAGGAAATTATTTACAAACGAGCAAAGCATATAAACGGGGGTGAAGTCAAATGCATGGTCATATGTGAAATAACTATAGTCACCGGCTATTAGGGCTAAAATCTATTAAACGTCTCATGCACACACGTGCACATTCATACAACCGATACTAATTTGATCATTAAATTCACATATATACACAGACACAGTCCACCTTTTGCTCTTTTAGAATCTCATCTCTCTGTCTTCGTTTCTTCCTCTGCTGCTGCTTCTGTTGCTGAACGCTCTGCAGTGCCAATTTCACCTTGTTCAGTGCACTATCCTTGCTCACGTTGAATGACACGCTATCCGGGGCATCATCAGATCCACTCTCTTCCTCCGAACTGCTTTTGCCTAAACAAGAAAAATCACTTACACATAATGCATCCAACTAGCCGTAGTTTATAAAATATCTACTGCACTACGTTTGTGCAGCGAAGGCTACGGTAACTAGAGATAGCATCTACCAAGCCGAGTGGTTCCCAAACTTTTAGACATGACCAAAGGAGCATTCAGATTTCATTACTTTGACGTGCGACGAAAGTCCTTTTGCTTTGCAAGGGATAAAGACGGACTGTACATTTTCTGTGCCTCGAAAAAATAATTTTTGAAAAGGTAATGGTGATTTCAAGAGTTGGTTGCGCTCATGCGACTTACTGTACAATGATAGTTTGTTGGGAGAGTACCTGCTCATTAGGAGCTAGTGCATTCTATCTAGGAGGCAAAGGAGAAAGCTTCTGGGGGGTCTTTCTGGGTGCACGGTCATGTGGTGCCACCCATCATCGACATTAGCATGAAAGATAACTTTTTTAAAGAAATTAGCCTATAGATTTTAGCTGATACTAGGTGGGTTAGTGACTTAAAATGGGTTTAGTTTCAATTTGCTTAAGGGGTCTTTAATGCCCTTCTATTATGATAGCCTGTACAACAGTTTTATTCATGGCAATATCCAATAGCAGATGACTATTTCGATTGGTTAAATTTATAGGAATGTGCAGTCTTCCAACAGCAGACATTTATATTAAATATTAAAGAAAGCCATGTACAATTCGTCATTAATTAGGTGTTTTAGGTGCGATTTATTCTGGTAATGAAGCACAGTGAGATATTTCAACATCAAAGTAGTTTCTATTTACTGGTCAGTATGATAACTTGGTGTTCAAAACCTCAGTGTTATGTTGGTGTTTCAGTTTGTTCAGTAGGTTTTCGATATACTAAACGTCTCGTTAAAATTGTACACAACCCTGCTACAGATATTCTCAAGTTTCATGTTTATTTCATTGAGTCCAGGCATGGCGATTAGTGACCTGCACTAACTGAGGTGACTCACCCAAATTCCTGTTTTTAATAGAACCATCATGTAATCTCCGTCTCCACTACGCCTCCCGCGCTAAATCTTGTAATCCTTTAATCGCTGCTTTCCTCTCTTCTGCATTCCACCCTCGAACCTTTCACACAAAAGGCTTCAACGGTTGTCATGACTACTATACACGCATCTAGTGACCCCAACCCAAATCCAACATGGCGACCGGAATCGTCAACTGTATAGACTTTTACCGCCCGATCATCACCTGCGCCGTTCTATTACCTATAAAATACAGCTAATAAAATGAGCACTGACCCGGTCGCCAGACAAGGGCACAAACTACACGTTGCGTTTTACGATAACGACCACAACCGCATACATCTGATCATAAAAGCTGAGCTTAAACGCTTCGACCGTACAACGAACGCGTATTCTCTCACACACCCTGCTACACCGACTCCGACATATTTGACAGGTTTATTCGCATTCGCAGCCCGAGTGGGTACTCGGCGCAGATCAGCGCGGGCAGTTACCCCCGCCCTGGCACCTGCTCCCTGCGTATAACCTGCTTAGTCTAGCTCATCGAACGGCTGCGAAAGTAATTCGATAAAAGTGGCGGCAAATGATTTTGTTTTTTTTACGGGGACGTCTGCAGAAATATCCCGCAGGACGTGACCATGCTGTCAAGCGTGTGGGGGCGGTGTGTATAGTCCGGAAACGAACGGCAATCCGAGTGCGGCAGAGCACAGGTGCGAGACGAGGGCGTCAGTCTATCGTCGCGCGACGCCCGAACGCCTCTCTCGGGAGACTTCCACAATGAGACAAACGCCCCTGCGACGTGAACATAGACTGGTACCACGCCGCGCACACTTCGTTTCCCGCGCAACGCGGGACACGGCTGTCCGCTGGACACACCCGCCCTACTTCGGCCCCATCTAACCCCGCCCTTAGCTCAGCTCTGACATGTCATCACCGGCCTGCATTCATCAGGGGAAGATTCCTAGTGTATAAGGAATGCTGCCTCGAGGGTGACAACTAGACTGCCGCTGCGGCTTTCAGCTGCACCAGCGATGACCGTAAACGATAGAGAGCGGCGTCAGTCTACGGAGATGCTGAGAGAGGGCGTGGGGATGAATGGGACATCGCGGGACAGACGCGATAATGCCACTCTCACTCGCTAAATGTTCGTCGCTCGACGGCCCAGCACTTAAACGGATTAGCCTCGCTGCGGGGGGGGGAGGTCCCTGACGATGTGTGTTTTTGTGAGGGGGCGGGGGGAGGTCCCCGACGATGAGTTTTTTTTGTGAGGGGGTGGGGGCGACGGGACGTAAACGGTTAAACGATTGCAAGGAATAACCTCGCAGAGATATACACTCGCAGTATCTTCTCATCGGATGATGTAGAAGCTGTGACGTCAATGCGGGCAGGTTGACGTATGTCCTCGACTATTCCCCGCCCACGTATCAGCAAAAAACACAAACCTACTTGTTAAAAAACGCGACTTACGTCCGCTAGGTAGTAAAGCTGGCCGCAAGGAATCGATGCGAAAGCGATTGCGTTCAGGATTACCATCGAACAACGACAACATTATCCATACGTCGCGCGAACGACGGAAATACATACACAGCTACAGACCACATACACATACACACCGCCACACACACAGCACGCACGTACATGCACACGACGTTACGCACACGCAGGCATTCAACACCCGGAGTAACCGATTGTAACCGATCGTCGGTTACTTGGGTCTAACCGATATATGATTACAAAATTACAACCGATTGACAACACTACAATTAACCCAGCAGGAAGATCGTAGGTTGACCTGTTCAATGCTGCGTCAAGCTATTGAGATCACAGGCACTTTGAACATTTCAATAATAAAATTATGGTAAATGAACACGAAATGTGTTTATTACCAAAGTCAATGTTTAGCTACTCTCTTTTTTGCCTATTGTTGGTAACAGTGTCCCATTGTTCTACAAATGCCGTTCAGATGCACCTCTGTAAAACACGATAATTATTTCACTGCACGCACGCCACTATATAGAACCGCAGAGAAAGATAGAGCAGGTGAAAAAGCATGAGCGCCAAATTCGCACAACACTCACTTAGTTTCACACCATCACACCAAAAATACATGATAAATAACAGCCTCTATGCTGGTATCTATGCATAGCAGAATGTTGACTTGTTTGAATTATTACTCTTCCAATTTGGTACAACACACTTTACCTGGGCAGAGAAATCTGGTCATATCCTGACGAAAACTCCCGCTCCACAGCAATGTAAATGGGAGCAAATACCCGTTTATTATTCGAGACTTCCTAACCGCGCTACGCAATTGTTTAACCAATGAACGTGGCCACGTGTGTGATGTGACCCCTGTGCGAATTATCGTGGCTTGTCTTGGAAACGAGTGATGGGGATCGTCATGGAGATTGGAACCAGGGAGCACTTGAACCCAGAATGCAATGTGTTGCCATTACTCATGTATAAACAAGCAGTTGCTCCCATTTACATTTCCGTGGACTGGGAGTACTCCTCAGGAATTTACCAGATTTCTCTGGGTAAATTGTGCTGCACCAAATTGTAACATTGTATGAAGTTGAGTTTACACACGAATAATGGCGGCGCATTGCATGCCGGGGTGAGCTTATGCATGCCGACCCCAAGGCTCCATTTATAGGCCTGCCAAGCCAATGTAGCATAATGCGAGCAGGCATGACGTCGCTCACACCACTACGTTCATTGGCCGAAACAAGCGAGTAGCGCGTTTACTATTTAGGGAGTTTCGGACAACGGATGATAAAAAGGCAATCAAAGGATTTTAAACAAGTGAACATTTAGCCACACATAGATACCAAAATAAAGGCTGTCTGTTGTGGATTTGTGCTGTGATAGTGTGAAATGAAGCAAGTGTCAAGCGAATTTTGCGATCATGCTTTCCAAGTTTCCTACCTGCGCCATAGGCTTTTAGTTTTATTGTTTTTGCACAGTGGCGTGCATGCAGTGTAGCCTACTTGTGTTGCAGAGGAGCACCTGAATGGCATTTACAAGAATTATCACTATCACTATCAGTGATAGTACTTTTAATAGGCGAAAGAAAGTAGTACTACTACTAGTATTACTATTAGTAAATACATTTCGTGTTTTTGTACCGTCATTTTATTATTGAAACGTTACAACTACAACTTACAAGTGGTGCCTGTGTACCAGACACTGAGACAGGTAAACTATCAAATGTTTTACTTATTACTACGAAAACTAGGCCTAGTTACCTTCGTTGAACATTGCTGTCATTACAACAACAACTTGATTATTGATGAGCACAGTATTATTGCAATAATAATAATATTGTTTTCACAGCACACCGTGCTCACGTGCTAATCATTGGTGCTGATCAGTGGCACAGTCACATAGCCCGAGGAGCTAGACATATGCAAGAAGATGAAGCGCATTGGTCATGTACTTGTGACGCCATTTTAGATCACAGTTTGCGCAGTGTGTGCATCTAAACGTTTTCATGGAAAAACATAACATACATGGATATACATAACCGGGCGAAACTCGTAACGGGTTGTTATAACTCTACACTGTATCCACATATGACCGGTAGTGAGCGGCTGGCTTCATACAACCGGACGAAAACAGTTTGACAATTTATGATAGGTGACCGGTCGGAAACAACAAGTTTTAGGTCACGTGGTAGCGGTGCATAGATGAGTTCCTCGTCTCTTCGTAAATATAAAGTGGGCAAAGTCCAAAGACCGAAAACCTATCTAGATAGGCGGATCGAAGATGTCAACCTCCGTTATCTCTTTGCTTTATTATGCTATAAACGTAACTTTGTAAAGATTAGACTGTGGTGCATGTCTCCTGGTTCTCGCGCGCAACACTGCCAGCAGAGAAGTTATCATGCAGGTTGTCAGAAAGGTTCGTGTTGAGAATAAACCCAGTTTGGAAGTTCTAGTCTCTGAAAACGCACCAGCAAACCGCCCTGAGTGATTCACTCAGGGGTTCCCTGAATTTCCTCCACAGAAAACCATAGCGACGCGTTGTAACCCTATCCTGGGGTTTGGGTTACATTATTGTATCTAAGCTGTCCCATGAACCCTGCCATCGCTCTACCAAGGCTTTCTTGATTTCTCCTTTGGCTTCGGAGAAGGAAAGCGGAGAGTGGTCTTCAGATTTATCCATTTCTGCAGCCTCGAGGGCTGCCCGTTTCGCTTCTTCGTCTGCAAGTTCGTTTGCGGCCAGTCCTGCATGTCCTGCTACCCAGCAAATGTCGATCTTGAGACATATACGCATCCTATATCATGTATTTCGCACACGTCAGGAATTTCGCACAACACCGTTAAACTTATGTTTAAACTCTGACGACTATACCGTTGCTTACAATGACGGTGGCGCCACTGGAAGCTCAACCACGGAAAAAGTTGAGCAAACTAATGTTTCGGCTGCAGGCTATACAGACCGAGGGTGTTTCGTATTTATTAATTTAAGATCAGAAGGATTACAACTTAAGCCTGGGACACACCATGCGAATTTTGCTGCGATCATATCCGCAGCGAAATTTGCGGCGAAAATATTCGCACCCGCATGCGATAATCGAGCGGACACACCATGCAAATTTATTCGCTCGACCGGACACACTACACGCGATCTACTGTCGCCACACTGCTCCAACGAATTTGTACGCAGCGGTAAAAATCCGCAGCGAAAATATCAAACATGTTTGATCGCTGCGAATTTCGGTGCAGATGAAATTCGCCCGCGCTTGAGCGGACACACTATGCGAATTCCACAGCCGGGTTTAAAATCCGCTGCGGTCGTGCGAATAAATTCGCATGGTGTGTCCCCTGCTTTAGTTTCATGCACGACACGTAGTTTTAGTTATAATATGAACGAATTTGTCCTAAAATGAATATCATTTGGTTAAATAGCAATTAGGTTTAAATATAATTGCACTTTTGTGATTAGCCCTCGGTCTGTAAAGTGCAAGATAAATTGGCGAATGCGCAACTTTTTCAGCCTGGTGGCAGCACAATGGCATGTGTCATGTCAGCATCCAAAAATTAAGATTTCGAAATTCAATGTTGTTTTATGCGTAATTATATAAATTTTTAGGTATATGCTATTATATATGCATTTACTATCATAATATACTCTAAAATTCTAGGGGAAGTATCGATCCCGTTAAGCAAAATCATCGGTGTCGGACTTCCCTCACACACAAATTAGTCCCTGCCTATTTCGCGCATCTAAGTCAAACGATGCGCCCATGTGCCAAACTTGACAAAAGATCTACATAATGTATATATTAAATAATTTAAATGTGAACTTAAATATACCTTGATCGTTAATATAATGTAAAATTATTATCTTTGATGCGAAGTATGACTATCAGTGGCTGGTTACAACTTACATGCTTGAGATATGTCTATCTTACAGGGTTGAGATTCTTCCGCGGATCTGCGGAAGTCTGCGGATTTGACAGTCCCAGTGGTCGATTTTGTGAAACGTCTAAATTCGTTGAGAAAATTGGGGGGGGGGGTGTAACAATGTAAACATTTAAATTATATACCCTCAACAGCACCTGACTGTAGACAGTAGACTGACAGCGAAGTATACAGTGTATCTGTTTTTGTGTACCAGAAAAGAAAATCCTCGTTCACAGGCTGCAGTAGAGGGGCAGACATTTGAGGTAGCTGATCACATAACGACCATGCCTGGCCTGGGGGCCGGGTTTACATGTTGCTGTGTGCATGTTGTGTGCATGACTATGCACTGATTGTTCCATTCGCATTGTGTGTTTTTCATTCAAATCTCGTCGCAGCAAGGCAGCTTATGTCTGAGTAAAACAATGCAAGCGGCGGGCGGAAACAGAAAAATATTATTATGTCTAGAGTCTAGACATTTAATAAAAAAACTTGCCCTATTTTCAGCCCCCTGATTTCCTATTCATAGTTCGTTTGTTCCTTTTGACAACTTGAAAAAGTGATTCAAGAAGTCTCATATAATGTGTTCAGAATAGCTTAGAATGCACCAAATTGCACCATTCTTTAAAAAAAGTTAAGGGGGAACATGCCCCCGGAACCCCCTAGCATGGCTATGATCTACGGTCTTCGCATTGCTTGCTCCTCTGTTTACTAATTTCAATTTCAGCTGAAAATTAAATTCTCCAATCTCATCCCTGATCTTAGTATCTAATATAGATGTCATAATACTGGCATACCCTCTTGCCAAAACCAGAGGATCCCTTTACGTTTAGATTCTTTGTTCCTGTCATCCCATGATATTAGAATTCTTTTCCTTTCAATTTGGTTAAAATTGCAAAATTGAAGCTTTTTCTACTGCCGGCAATCCGCAATTCTACATTACTCTTACAAAATGGTCTGTCAACAATCTGTCTCTTTAATCTGTCAGTGTCTATTTGTTCAACTTTGTACCTCTCTGTCTTCGATCTCCTTTTGACTTTGTTTCGAGTTTGAAGACTAATCTTTATGAGGTTATAGTATGAGAATCTATGTTCTATGTCTATGTTTAAACAAAGTAAATCCATCCTTGTTGACAGATAGCTACAAGTTGGCTTCTCATTTCTCATTACATGACAAGAAGCCTACGACGTGTAACAGTCGCAGAGCGTTGTTGGGCTAGTCATCAGAGACACTCGTATTTATACGATACATGTTTGTAGATTTAGGGTGGGAAATAGCATATCAGTCCCTTAAAATGCATGCAACAGTGTCGAGTGATGGCTTGTTCGAAAGTCTTTACTGATCCACAAGAATCTCTGTGCACACATACATGCTGATGCTGGGGCAGCTTTATCAATTTATGTAAAAGCCATGCGTGAAACAACATTACAAACAATATTTGCTGAAAGCAATTAATGTACGTTTGTATTTTATATAGGAACGAGATGTATTATTTACTTCATTCATTTACACCAGTATAGGCATTGTTAAAGCTATATTACTGATGTTACATGCAATTTCAACTAATATCCATCGTTGTGCTAATAAATGGAAAACTGACATTCACTTGCAAACAGTGATGGCGCGCAGTGCCACATGTGAATAGTTTACATTGTTGTTACATCCGAGAAATGGTCGTTCATCAAAAGATCGTTAAACTCTTGTTCTACAAAAATATATTTGGCTCAGTTTTCAAAAAAGTTGTCACAGATAACGTCAAATTTAATAGAATCAATCGTCAATAGAAGATTTTGTAATGGATAGTGCCAGACTGTGTATTGACTTTGGTCTCGGACTTTGTACTTGCTAGTTTGACTAGGCTGCAAGACTAAAGTCTAATAAGAGCTACGCTGTTGCTACTCCTATTAATAAACAATATCGGAAATAGCATATAGCATGCATCTGTGAATTAATTCAGATATTTATTATTTTCAGTTCACCTCACTCTAGATCTGTGAAGCATGGCTTTAATAAGGCTAGTGTTTTCGATCTGTGGGAAGCCGATGGCATTGCGACCATATGGAAGGAACATTAGTATATCGTCGACCTGCGGCACCAAGGCATCTTCTCTAGTGTACGAACAACATGGCGACCCTGAGAAGGTCGTGGAAAAGGTATCCGTGGACATACCACGCGCCCTCAACCTTAAGGATATCCTTGTGCGCCTGCTCGTGGCTCCAGTGAACCCGGCAGATATTAACACGATTCAGGGAACATATGGCGTCAGTCCTCCGCTCCCAGCGGTTGGTGGCAATGAAGGTGTCGCAGAAGTTATAGACGTGGGCGACGCCGTCAGGTTCTGTCGGCCCGGCGATCGCGTGATTCCGGCGATACCGGGCTGCGGCACGTGGCGTACTCACAGCATCATGTTTGCCGACCAGTTGCGGAAGGTTCCGGACGGAGTGCCGGACGCGGAAGCGGCCATGGTTGCAGTGAACGCATGTACGGCGTACAGAATGCTGTGCGACTATGAACTGCTGAAACGTGACGATGTCATAATGCAGAACGGCGCAAACAGCGGTGTGGGACAGAACGTGATCCAGATTGCTCGCGAGATGGGACTTCTCTCCATCAACATCGTCCGAGACAGAGATGACATGGCGGACTTGAAGCGCCACCTGATGGCACTCGGTGCAAACTACGTTTTTACAGAAGATTCCTTTCGCAAAGAAGGGGGAGCATTCTTCAAAAATGAAAAGAAGCTTCGTCCCAAGCTGGCGTTTAACTGTGTCGGCGGTAAAAGCTCCACAGAGTTGATGCGTCATCTGGATGATGGAGGAAAAATGGTCACCTATGGTGGCATGTCCCGTCAGCCAATAATAATTCCGACGGGTGTGATGATTTTTAAGCGCTTAAAAGCGGAAGGATTCTGGATGACAAAGTGGAATGAGGCCAACAGGGATACAGATCAGCAGGACATCATGTTTAACACTATATTCGGTCTAATGAAAGAGGGTAAGCTGGTGGCTCCACCTGCTGACAGAGTGCCATTTTCTGACTACGAGAGAGCAATAAGTGCTGCAGTTAAACCTTACACCAGGAAACAGTTGCTGGTTCCTGATAGCTAGTGTAGTTAGCACTTTCAGGTTGCTTGTTGTGGTAAGTAATTTAAACTTCAACACGCATTGCGCATTATCTTTGCGTAAATGGCGCGTTTCTACGTGTATACTTCATAGCATATTTTAATTGTGATACTGAAAAATTCTTAGAAAATAAAAAACTACAGTTCTCTCTATGCCATCATCTTTGTGCTCTGAATCTGCGAATCTTTTTTATGGAATCGCCTTTAGATGCAAACAACATCTAGCGATGGGATTTTTGTTAATTACCAGATAATATTCTACTAATTATGCAAGCAACCGGTGGTGGCAGAGCGCCGTGGCTCTCCTCAGGAGCCTCACATGCAGTGCCTCTGTTAAGCATTGTGTGCCCTGTCTGCCTCTCACACGTACCAGTGAGCACAGAGCCGAAACCACTGGAGCATCCATCACCCGTAATTGTATTGCATTTCCATTCAAATCGGCTTTACGGCCCGCCCGGGGGCAGCGTATAGCGAAAATTTATTTCTGCTGCCGCCGAGAGTCGATTGCCGACGGTTGGGCGCGATTTTTCGTGGCAGGCTCTGGTTGGGGAGTGCTGCCTCACCAGAGATTGCCGAGGCCCTTTCTCCCTCCGCATTCTCATGTAGATGCCGACTTCGGTTTCGGCAATTTTGTCACGGCGGACGTTTACGAGTGGCGTGGCTTTGTCGCAAGAGGGAGAGCGCAGCCGCGATTGAAATATTCATGGACTTCACGTTGGAATACACGAGGCGAGGGGACTGAGGGTAGGGATACATGAGGCGAGGGGAGTGAGGGTGGGGATACCTGGGTGAGGGGACTGAGGGTGGGGATACCTGGGTGAGGGGACTGAGGGTGGGGATACCTGGGTGAGGGGACTGAGGGTGGGGATACATGGGTGAGGGGACTGAGGGTGGGGATGCCTGGGTGAGGGGACTGAGGGTGGGGATACATGGGTGAGGGGACTGAGGGTGGGGATACATGGGTGAGGGGATCGAGGGTGGGGATACCTGGGTGAGGGGACTGAGGGTGGGGATACCTGGGTGAGGGGACTGAGGGTGGGGACACATCATGACATGGGTGAGGGGACTGAGGGTGGGGATACCTGTGGAGGGACTGAGGGTCGGGAAGCCATTCTAGCATAAGAGTTGAGCAGGGTGAGGAGGATGAGGGTTGGAATGAGGAGAGTGAGAATGGAGAAGCACAGCCACCATGGACATCGCATCGGGAGGCAGGGGATGATCTGGAAGTACCATCATGCACATCTGGTAGGCATGAAAGCCGGGCAGGGGCGCAGGATGAAAGATGGAGAGAGAGGGCCGCAGGAGAAAGAGGGGCAGGGCCCCCGGAAGGATGTAGGGTGAGGATGAGATGACCGAGTGAGGATGTGGGTGGGGTGGGTGCCATGAACGAGCTTGCGTTCGGGTAGTATTTGAATCCAACGTGACAGTAAATCGGTCTAAGCGCCAGCTGTCCAAGCGCAAATCTGTAAAAAAGCGCCATAGGTCTCGTATCCCTTTGAGAGTGAACTGTACGTAAGCTCGTTGATGGCAACCTGAAGTCTTCATGTTATTGCAATGATTACCGTATGTTAGTCTCTAATTTAATAGCGTCGATGGCAAAGTGTGCTGGCTGAGTTTACGACGAAATTAACTCATTGACTAATTGTTTTGAGTTCGAATCTATTGGCGAGGATGTGGCATGTGTAATTTATTGAGATTTCGTAGCTACTAGATACGTGTGTTGTATGTAGTGCGCATCCCGCAATGATATGTAGCTACGTGTAGACAAAATTAAACTGTTCTGAGAGAACTAAACTTCATGCTTTCATTTAGCGGTTGAACGGTTTGGATAAGTTGAGATTTCGACATTGCTTTGCAGTTCTCGGAATGTTTCTGTAAAAACAGTTAACACGCGTAGCTTAAACCTCTCGAGATTACTCACCGGCTAAAGTTTGCGCACAGCGCACAGCCATTAATCTGAAGGATTCTGTGTTTTCTTTCTCCTTTTTTTTCTAGCAATTACTGTAGAATGAGCCGGCTACATTGGCTTGAAGTATAAGGATGTTTCCAATGCAGTTCCGCTTCTAAAACAAGAAGAAAATTTAGTTGTGGGAGTAGTCACTCGCTGCTCCGCCGCTCTCGCATTCCCTTTGCTATTACCACACTCCTGTCTCCCTTCGCGTGTTTAGTGTGCTTTATGGTTTTATAACCTACTATCCTATTACTTTACTGCACGCGCGTATATGCCATTGCCTCTCCCTGTAGGCGCGCTCTCCAACTCTCGCTCGTTTCGTCTCTCTGGTCTCTCTTCTTTCTCTCTATCTCTCTCTCTCTCTCTCTCTTTCTCGCCTCTCACTCTCTCACTCTTGTCTCGTCGGTCGGCTCCTCTCTCTGCTCTCTCTCTCTCTCTCTATCTCTCTCTCTCTACTCTCCGTCGTCTCTCTTTCCTCTCACACTCTATCTGTCTCTCTCTCTTTTTCTCTCTCTCATCTCTCATCTCTCTATGTCCTATTCTGTTGTCTTTCGCTCTTTTCGCTGAGTTCCTTCCTCCATCCATCCCTCCCTCTCTCTATTTTCTACCTCCCTCTCTTTTTCTCTCTCCCCCTTCTCTCTCTTTGTTGTAATCACATAGAGCGACAACATAGTATTATTGCTCCGCCCCTAGTCTGTCTCTTTCCCTCTCTTTTTCTCTCACTAGACTCGCACGTAGATGCGACTTGTAAAATCGCGGATCGATGGAGAAAAAATCGCGATGAAAGAAATGAAAGCATTCCGCATTCCAGGTGGTAGGCATGTCTTCATTGATTCCTGCCTGCTCGCAAAGTCACATTTGCATATAGGACATGAAATATTAATCAAGCAATTAAAACGCAATATACGGCGAAGACCCGCTCGTATTTCTTCTGCTTATATGCCATCCGCGCACATATATTAGTCGACTTTGTAGAACGTGTGTGACGCCGTGCGCGGGTGTGCGATGCGCGTCCGCTGCGTGCGTGTGTGACGTTGCGCAGTGTTGTGGCGTGATTGCGATGGTGTATGCGTGCCGTGCGCGTGCGATTGCGTGTGTGTGCGGCGTGGGTGTTGCTGCGCGTGTATGGTGGTGCTGCGTGTGTGCGAAAGTGTATGACTTAACAATGTTGCTCTATCTTAATCTTCAGGCGAACGGCCGTCGAACGGCTAACCTAGGTTACCGGCACTTTTGTAGCAGGCTTCAATTAATGATAAGTATAGTGTTTTGTTGGCAGGCCGGGCTCCACTCCGACCGGTCGGAGGGACCGCATGCGCGTTCCCTAAAATCTCGGTAAGCGGTAATTTTTCCGCGCGACAAAATCCGGCAAGAATTGTAAAAAAGCGGGGGAGTTGGTATTTGACTTTCCTCGGAGATTTCTCTTAAAAGGGAAGGTGTGTTCACTCTCTCTCTAATTCACTTGAATAATCATAGAAAACTTTATCAAAATCCCGCGGATCAAATTTCTGAGAAATTCCTGCTAGTTTTGAAATGCTCCACTCAGGATTATTCGGATTTACGGCGGGCGTCTCAAGGACCAGGAAAAAGCCCGCACAAAAGCGCCGCGAGAAGAGGGCGGTTCAGACTTATTGACGTCAGTGCGAGGATTAGGGGATGCTTTCAAAGGGATGAGTACTGAACGAGCATGATGCGTACCCTAAATAACACTACAGTGGCAGGGGCCCGGGGTTGGCAGGCGGCTCCTATACGAGAACAACAGCATAAGCAACCCAGCCTTTAACGCGTGTAAAACTAAGCTAACCACCGATAGTTGATGCATTATCGTAGAATAGCACTACCAAGGTTATTGTTCAAGCTATTCTGGCGTTGTCTTGGTAATTGATGCCGTATTTGCAATAGCGAGGCATTGAGGTGAGAGTCGAGGTGATCCTATGTTGGATATTATCAATAGTACATAATAGAGATGTAGAGATAATAGATTATGTACTCTTGATATTTTACCGCTTGGACGTTTCGAATGATTTCGTGATGCCATTGATATGAGTGGCGAGTTAGTGTTCCGCGTGCATACTCTGGTCGCGCAGTGGACTAAATATAAATTCTTCAGCGGACAAATTTACATGGCGATGAAATTACATGGCTAAGAAAGTCGAAACTGGAGAAATTCTACCGTTAAATTACAGCGGTAGCAGTTGTAGACTTCTTCGCTTGCGGTTTGCCACGTAGGGGCCTAACGCTGTGCGTGAGAAACGAATGTAATTTCTGTGCTGGCACATCTAGACTGCGCTTAGCTATCAGCGGTGGCATTGGAGCCTTATCTGTCTGCCTGTGGCGGGGAGCTTGGCACTAAATAAAACTGAGTATTCGATTAGGTTGAGATCGATACGCCGGATTCGAAAACTAATTGGAAGTAGGGAATTGCGAAGCGCCGAGACGGGACAAAAATGCGTTAACAGCGCTGATCAGGACGAGGAAAAAATGAAGCTGCACCATCTGCCGGCGGCAGTGAAGCCTTGCGCTGTTGCCATATCAGTCTTCCGGCATTCAATAACTGCTGCTGCCTGCAGTGATAGATGGTTGCGTTTGTGGGGCTTTTTTTGCGGGCAGCGCAGGAGATGAGTTCGTGTGCTGTTAACTGTTCGTTAATTAAGCAGCCTCGATTACAATCGTGTGGAAGGTGTGCGTGCTTACACACACACACACACACACACACACACACACACACACACAGCCAACACGACGCCGCACCACGCACGCACGCACGCACAACACCCACACACATACATACACACAAACACACAGACAACCCCAAACACATACACACACACACACACGACACTAAAAACACACACATATAATAATATATACACACACACACACACACACAACAAACACAACACACACACTCACAAAACACACACACACACACACACACACACACACACACACACACACACACAAAAACACACACACACACACACACCCACGACTTGCATCGCCAAACATACCACACACACTCCACCACACACACCACACACACCACACACACACACAACACACACACACAAACACACACACACACTACCCCACACACAACCACAACCAACAATGCACACACCACACACATAGCAACACACACAGCCATAATACATACACCACTCGCGATGATAAATATATGAATCTCTGAAAAAAGCGTTTGGCA